AGAAGAAAAAGTTGATGATCTTATTAAAAACAAGTTCAACAATTGAAATTTTTGTTTTAACTATGGCTATGCTTCTAATGGTAGACTTTGGATCCTTTGGAAAAAGAGCCGACTTTTTCTCTTTGTCATGCTTCTGTCAAATGTCTCTCTGTTAAAGGGCATCTCAATGGTATTCCTTTTGTTATCTCAGCTATTTATGGTAGTAATGATTGTATTCAAAAAATAATTCTTTGGCAGCACCTTAGAGAACATGACTCTACCTATGGCTCTTACCCTTGGTTTCTTGATGGAGACTTCAATATTTTTCTTAACTCTAATGAAAGCTCTGATCATGAAATTCTAGGTCCTTTTTCCTCCACTGACATGATTGATTTCAAATATACTCTCAATGACCTCCTTCTTCATGATCATCCATTTTTTGGCCCTACTTACACTTGGAGCAACAAACAGAATGAGACTTTTCTTGCTAGAAAACTTGACAGAGTCCTTATTAATTCTTTTTGGGTTACTTTTTTTCTAAACTCTTATGTTGAATTTTGGCTCCTGGTCATTCAGACCACTGCATGGCTCTTGCTTGGCTTAATAAAAAAGCTCTTGTTCATCACCCTAAGCCTTTTAAATTCTTCAATATCTGATCTACCCTTCCGAATTTCCTGGATGAAGTGAAACAGTCCTGGTAGATTCTTGTTCAAGGTAACCCTATGACTTCTCTTTTCCTAAAGCTAAAAAGGCTTAAGGTTTGTTTGAGGAATATCAACAAAGAGCATTTCAGCAACATCTCTCAAAGGGTGAAGCAAAAGAAAGTTGAACTTGAACATTTCCAACTTCTAACTCTTAAGGGGAATTGTTCCTTTGATAATGAGCTGAAAATTCAAAATGAACTTTCTCATCTTGAAGCAGCAGAATCCATGTTCCTAAAACAAAAATAAAAAATACAGTGGCTAAAAGAGGGGGATAAATGTACAAAATTTTTCCACTCTATCATTGCTTCTAGACACAAAAAAGATACCATTAGAGCTCTTATCAATGACCAAGGAAGCATATTAGAAACCTTTGATGATATGGCTTCTGAACTTATTGATTTCTTCAAAAAATAGTTAGGAACTGTTGACAACAATGTAAACTTCACTGATCCTAATACCCTGAAAAATATGCTCAATTTAAACTTGCCTACTGATGCTCTCATAGATTTAGGGAAAGATATTACTGTTGAGGAGATAAAACAAGCTTTCTTTACTCAAGGTAATGATAAAGCCCCATGGCCTGATGGTTATTCTCCCTTATTCTTTACGAAGTCATGGACTGTTATTGGAGATGATGTTATCAAAGCTGTTAAATTCTTTTTCTACAATTTTTTCATCCATCCAGCTTTCAATTCCACCATTTTAACCTTGGTTCCTAAGATCACTAATCCTAGCAAGGTTTCAGACTATAGGCCCATTTCCTGCTGCTCAGTGGTCTATAAAGCTATCACTAAGATTATTGGTAAAAGACTTACTGATCTGCTGCCTGATATCATTACGCCTAATCAATCTGCTTTTGTCAAGGGTAGATACATCATTGATAATTCTTTTCTTGCCCAAGAACTTGTGAAAGGCTATGGGAGGAATTCTATTTCCCTTAGGTGTGCTCCCAAGATTGATTTTCACAAAGCTTTTGATTCCCTCAAGTGGGGATTCATTTCTTCTATTCTTAAAGCTATTCAACTGCCTCCTTTATTCATTAAGTGGATAGAAGTCTGTTTTTCTGAAGCTATATATTCTATTTCATTTAATGGCTCTTTGATTGGTTACTTCAAAGGTGAAAGGGGCATAAGACAAGGGGACCCTTTATCTCCCTCCTTATTTTTTCTTGCTATGAACATTCTCTCTAAGCTTCTCAATATTGATGCTTCTAGAGGTATTTTTGGATTTCATCCAAAATGTAAAAAGCTTGGACTCACCAATCTTTATTTTGCTGATGATCTCCTTATTTTCTGCAAAGGTAACCTTGAATCAGTGACAGGGGTGATCATTGTTTTAGAACAATTTTATTCAATGTCTAGGCTGAAATTGAATGCTGCAAAAAGTGAACTGTTCTCTACTGGTATCTCTTTTAAAACTCTTGATCTTATTAAGCAATCTACTGTAATTTATTATGGTTATCTTCCAGTGAGGTATCTTGGGGTCCCTCTAATCACTAGGAAACTTAGTATCAAGGATTGCTCTGCCCTTATTGACAAAATTATAGGCCAAAATCCATCAGTGGTCTGGAAAATACTTAAGTTGTGCTGGAAGACTTGAACTGGTGAAAATTGTTCTGCTTAATATTGCTAATTTCTGGTGTAGGAAGTTTTTTCTCCCCAAGGCTGTTATTAATTCTATCAATCAATTATGCTCAAGATTTCTATGGAAGGGTTCTAATGTAGCAGCTTCTGGAGCGCGTGTTAGCTGGGTAAAAATCTGCTGCCCAAAATCGAAAGGTGGCCTAGGATTAAAGGATCTTAAAACTTGGAACAAGGCTATTATGATGCAGCTCATTCGATCCCTCCTTGCTGGAGATGGATCTTTATGGATAGCTTGGACTTACTGTTATGTGATTAAATCTAATGATTTTAAAGTCATGACAGAAAATTCTTCTGCTAGCTGGTGTTTTAAACGTCTTTTGAAACTTAGAACTGAAGCTCTTCATTTTCTTAATGCTACTCCTAAGGCTAACAAAACCATTTGGGAGGAGATAAGAGTTAAGCATTCCAAAGTTCCTTGGCACAAGCTCATTTGGTTTCCCATGCACATTCCTAAATTCAATATCATCTCATGGATGGTTATTCTCGACAGACTTCCTACTAGAGAGAGACTATCTCGAATGGGAATTACTACCAACGTTTCTTTCCCTCTTTGCAATGATCTTTTGGAATCGAGAAACAACCTTTTTGCATACTGCAGAATTACTTACAGCCTGTGGAAGCACATTCTAAACCTGAACCACCTGCTCAAACCGCAAATGTCATGGGAAAATATGATCATTTGGGCATCTTCTATGTGGAAAGGTAAATCTCTCCTAACATCTATATTGAAGATTGCTTGGAGTTCCTTCATTTACACCGTTCGGGAGGAAAGAAACAGGAAGATATTTCAAGGAAGGACTCGTACGGTGGATGAAATGTTAAGTTCCATTAAGGGTATTATTAGTGCTTAGCTTAGCAATAGGTACTTTAATAGAACTGATAATATCAACTCTCTTCTTTGTAACAAATGGGGTATAGGCTAACTATTTTTTTTTGTTCATAGCTTCTTGATCCTTGATTGAGTGTTGTATTGAACGTTTGCTTGGATAATAAAATTTTTACTTATCCAAAAAAATAAAGAAATGAATTATCAAGACTAAAATATTAACCTCAATCTTTATTAGCAGCCAATGTATTTGGATTATCCATTCCCTTGCGTTGATTCTTCTAATTGTCAGCATCCTTGCCATAAAAACAACCGGATGTACATGAAACTTTGGTAAAACTTGAAACTCCTGAAAAAGAAAATAAAAAAAATTGAATTATCAAGACAAAAATAATAATCTTAATTTTGGATAGAATTTTTAATTTTGAGATTTCGAGTTTGGGAAAATTTGGGTGTGACACTTCAGTAATAATAAAATATGTATCAAATATGTGTAGATACATAAATAAGCCATCGACATCTGGCCCACGGCCGATTCTTCTGGCCGTGTATACGGCCCCATAAAAACACTACAGCTGCCAATGTTACTAGCATCGAGACCGTTTTTCGTCCGGGCAGGGAAAAGACCGATACCGACTCGGAGGTTTTATCTTTGAAAATGTTTTTCGAAATGTGAGGAGTCGACATCAATCATTTAAGGTGCGATTGGGACACTATAAAAACTGGGTGATTTTAATAAAACATTTTATTTTTTTTATCAAAATACCAAGTTTTAAGGTCTGCGAAAATCAAGAAATCGGGTTCGGGAGTCAGTCACGCGTGGGGAAGGATTAGCACCCCACAAGCGCACAAAAATTGATACCTAGTTGATTACCCTATAATTAAAACCAGAAAGTTTGAGTTCGATCTTTATTTAATTTGAAAATCATTATGAATGCAAAGTTGAAAAGGATATTCGTTTATTGAGACCGATATCATTCGCTCCCAAACGTAAAGGTGGGAGATCAACTACAGTGTCTAATAATCGAATATTGCCTCATTTTTAGAAAATCATGATGTGATCTTTGAAAAGGATGTCAACCTATTTCGAGAATCACCAGTAGTCACCCTTGATCACACTTGCGGGAGATATACTATTAATTCCCTAATAAGTGAACATTGCCTTAGGTTAAAAAAAACAATGCAATCAAACAAATTCTTATTTAATCCTAATTAAACTAAGGTAAATTAAAGACTTTTTATAGCTTAAGGTGTCAAATTATGAAAATAAAGGAACCTAAAAGCTTAAACCTAAAAATGTAGGCTCTAATATTAATCCTATTTGATTTTAATCAATTATCGAATCGAATAATCGAGATGGTCCCTCGAGTATTTAGGCGAGGGCCAACTCGAATTATTCCCTAAATTAAAAGACTGATTAACGATACTGTCCTTGCTACCAGAAAAGAGCATGTAGATTACTAAAGCTCAGGTATAATATATAATAATGGATATTTGATTTCTTTTTCATTAAATTTTATAGAAATCTATTATAAAAATGATTATTTCAATTAGATTTAATCTATTCACAAATATTAAGATATAAATTTTTATCTTACTTAAAATATTAAGTGGCTCATCTATCGAATGATGATATCTTTTAATTAAACGTGAGATCTGCAGATCATCTCACGCACATGGGGTGCAGTATGCATCATTAGTTTACTTTTGATTCCATGCAAAATATTAAAAAAAAAACATGGCTTGCTGAACCATCCATGATCATCAGAACATGCGTGACGCATAGACTGAAAATGTATGACGTTAGGCAAATTACGTATGTATGACAAAGAAAAAGAGGAAGGAAGAGAGAGAGAGAAAAGACTGTACTTGAAGGAAGGAGGATTGGAAGGCCACTCAGGAACATACTTGTGGAGAGGATGACAGTGTAAGCGTAGGTAGTCTCTCCAGTTATGAACAGTCTCTTTTTTCACATTAAAACTTGTGGAAAGTCTCGTGGTTTTCCAAGGGTCATCGGAGTAAAGCTTCATCTTCTCCTCCACCGGCAGCTGGAAGAAGCCGTGCGCCACTTCTAACATCCTCTCCACCGCCTCTTTCGAAACTCCATGGTTAATAACCTCATGTCATATATGTTACAACATCGTTAGTACTGCCTAGAAAGTAATCATATGGAACGATTTACTGTATCATGGTATAAGTTACTTAGAATCATTTTTGTTCGGATTGATATAATCTCGAAAGTGAAAGTAGAAGAGCACTTAATACACCCATAGCAGGCTAGGAAGTGGAATCTACTTATGCTATTCTAGAGAAGGAAATACTAAATAAGAGCAGGGGGATTTGCAGGGACCAGTAATAGTATCTGAAAAAAGACAGTTGATGCAGGCATGAGAAATTTGCTGTACGACATGGCTCCTGTCCGGACACCCCAGGTCGATCACCAGGACGTTTTCGCATTCCGATACTTCGGATAATCGGGGACAATCGGATTCGGGTCTCACGTAACTTTCCGGCAAATCGGAGTATCTGATTCCGGAAGAAAGAACCTTTGCATCCAAGGCAACACCCAAAAGTAGAGCAAATAAGAGTGTTGCTTTAGGTGAGTGATGATGATACTATGTGGACTTGAGAATCTTTGTACGTTTATTTATAGGGATCCATTGGATTGAATGACTTGTCTTCTCATTTAATATCTAGACTATTAATTTTGGTATGTTTTAATACTTAAACTTTTATTTATTTTTATTAATATGTGGTAAGTTGAAGACATTATACGTTCAAAGAAAACTCTCATCCTATTTCACTAATCATCACTGAACTTTATTATCTCTCATATTTTATTCACTGTACTTTAAATCCGTTCAATTACTGAGTTTAACATAATTAACATTTTTGGTCACTCAACCGTTTTCTCACTAAACGACATTATAATTGAGATGTTTTATAGATGCACAATGACGTCGTTTTGGTAAAAAAAATTGTTTTTCTAAAACGGCGTCGTTTTAACGCCATTAAATATTTAACGACTGAGTGACCAAAAATGGTAATTATGTTAAATTCAGTGAGTGAAATAGGAGAGAGAGTAAAGTTCAACGATTATTAGTGTAATTTACCCTTTTTATATAACTTGAAAATATTCATATTTACCTAATCAAATAATTCAATTTTAAAAATTTTAAAAGCAAGGTTGTTGATCAAAATCCCTCCCAAAACACACTATTAATTTTGTAATTTTAGTTTAATATTAAAAATTGCTTATAGGATTCCTAATTTATGATTCTCATAGCTAAAAATAAACGTTTTATACAATTAAAAAACGAAAGAAAAAGCTATAATTATTTAATAAGACTAAGAAAGTAAACATTCAGAGTTTATGGATGGTATTGCATTTGAAGCATGATTTTCACATTTGCAAAATTTAGGGGTTGTTTGTTTGGCTCTGAATGGAATCATTCAACGTTGAATGGTATTGCATTTGAAGCATGATTTTCACATTTGCAAAACTTAGGGGCTGTTTGTTTGGCTCTGAATGGAATCATTCAACACTGAATGTTGAATCGTTCAGCATTCAGCATGTTTGTTTCGCATTTCTGAATGATTCAGTGCTGACTGATTCAACAAAACAATGCTGAATGATTCAGCATCAAAGTACATTCTGAATGATTCAGAGCCATTATCAAACAATATGTCACATTCAGAGCTAATTCATACAGAGCCTCTGAATCATTCAACATTTGAATCATTCAGCGCTTAATCATTCTGAAGTAAACAAACAACCCCTTAACCAACTTCAGTTAACATCAAGACAAAAATGAGATTACTTTTTTATATACTATTGTGGTAAGTATCTCAATTTTTTTATAACCATCGGTGTGATTGATATCAACTAATCTGGATCGGGTACTGTAGAGGCAAGAGTGATCCTCCTAACCGAATTTGCTCCAAACGCAATCGCCGGAATTCAAACCCCTGACCTTACTTAATGAATCTAGTGTCTCATCCAACTAGACCAACTGATTGTTGCTTATATCAATTTTAATTATATGATATTTGTTAAAAAAATATATAAACAATAATATATATATATATATTACATAAAATAAATAGGATTAATTAAAAAAAACGAGTTTACAAATTATACCATTTGATAACTTTAGATGCTTAGGGGGTGTTTGGATAGGGGAATGTGGGATTCTCATGGGAATGGAATCCACATTCCCCCGTTTGGTTAGCCCGAGAATCTCATTCCCGGTAATGTAAGATTATCAATAGTGAATTTTTTGGGGTATATTACCGGGAATGTCATTACCTGGAATGTCAATACCTCCATTTCCTTAGGTATTGTTGGATTCCTGACGTTTTGGACTAAAATGCCCTTAATTTTTTTTTAAATATCATTTTTATGTCATTGAATAATAAAAATTCTATGAATGTTAAATTACAAATTTATCCTTAAACTATTTTAGATTTACAAAAAAAGTCTATAATAAAAATTTTATATGAAGTTTAGGGGTTAAAATAAAATTTTACCCTTTCATTAAACCTTTTTATATTTTCAATTTTGTAAAAAAAATTATATAAATTTTATGAATTTAAATTTTTTAAAGAAAATATATAAATATTTTTGCAACTTGTTAAAAAAACAAATATATAATAAGGACAATTTGGTCAAATATACATTCCAATAATCTTTTATTCCTTTAACCAAATACGGTAATCTTACATTCCTGCTAAGCCAACCAAACACAAAATACAATATTCCCAGTAATCCTATTCCCTAGTAATCTTACATTCCCACGGTAATCTTCCATTCCGTGAACCAAACGCATAAAGTTTTTTTCTTGCTCAAAGTAGGAGTCTAATTTAACTAATGTTACTCTTTTAAGTGCCTACGTCGTGCCGCTCGAATAAGTACACAAATGAGGACACATGTTAGAAAAATGAGTTTTTTTTAATGGTCGTTACATCGACGCACGCACTTAAAAGAGTAATATTATAAAACGTTAGACATTAAGTGAAAAATATGTTAGAGACATAAAATTAACAAATGATATATAACTTGAGCACTTATTTTTTCCATTAAGCCAAATAAATATTATATCTTAAAAGATTAATATTATAAACGTTAGGTATTCATTTTGAACGAAAAATATTTTAGACACGTAAAATTAGCAAAAGAAATAACTTGAGTAAATATTTTTTTTCACTAAGCCAAATAAATATTATATTAATATAGCGAAATATAATTTTAACTTTTAACATTAATTTTTATAGTTTTAACAACTCATTTTAGATTACTTGTATTTTATAAATGTTGTTGAATGTAGGTTATATTTAGGAACAGATGCAAATTTTTATATAAGAAGTAGATTTTATATTTAGAAATTTATATTATAAATTTAAGGTTATATATTATAACATTTTAAGATGAAATTAAACTATTAATAAAATAATATAAAAAATTAAATTATATGAAAATTTAAAAAATTCAAAAGAATTATATTTTATAAAAACGTTTCTGTAGGACGTTAAAATATATTTTTTTGGTTGCTCTTCCGGTTCTTAAGGCTTGACTAATCCGGACCGGCTCAGGTCACACACTTGGTTTTGGGGTGAGTCTCCTCGTGAGGATTTCCTGCTGTCACATGGACTCGAACTCGAGACCAGCTTAAGCGAAATCAAACTACTTACCACTTTAACAGCCCGTTGATGCATTAAAATATAATTGAAACTGCAACCTCTTACATGATTTTTATATGTGTATAATTTTATAATTTGTTGAGTAACTTTTACCTTAAACTTCAAATTATTTACTTATCCCAGAACTATTTCCCTCTCTCTTGTTGGTGGGTTTGTTCAAATATGAGTATGAAAAGTAAGGCATATTTCATGCATGTGAAATGGTAAAAAGATGAGACTTACATTTTTACAATGTTTTATGCAAGTGGGAATTAAAATAAAAAGAAGCAAACAATTATTTTTGAGTAAATTACGTATTTAGTACTTGAACTATAAGTTTTAGTATATTTTAATACCTAAACTTTCAACTTTTTCAAAATCATATCTAACGTTTAGTTTTCATTAATTTTAATATCTCATCGTTAAAATCATAATGCATTTAATACCTAAATTATCAGTTTTGATCCGTTTTAGCACTTAAACTTTTAATTTTTCAAAACTTAAAGTTAAATTTTGAACAAGATACTAAAATAAAACAAAAACTAAAGTTTTTAACGGTCGGGTACTAAAATGAAACAAAAGTTAAACTTCAGGTATGGTTTTAAAAAAATGAAAGTTTAAGTACTACAACGGACTGAAACTAACAATTTAGGTACTAAATGCATAATTTACGCTTATTTTTATAATATTTTCATGTTTTTAAGGAGAAAAATTAAGAATTCGCCTCGTACAAGGCAACACTATATGGTGGCTGATGACGAGCATATCCATTGTAACATTCCGGAATAGGCATGTAAACGAACCGAACGCACACAAACGGATGTATGTTCATGTTCGTTCATTTAATAAATAAACGAACATAAACAAACAAAATTTTTTTTGTTAATGTTCGTTCATTAAGGAATATAGCTTGTTCATGTTCGTTCATTTAAAACATAAACGAACATAAACGAACATAAACGTTGGAGACCCTACCTTCCATTGTTCTTTTATGAAAAATAGTCGACAATGCAAATCAACCAAATCTACAGTGATAAATAGCATAAGAGCTTATTAGCAATGATGAAATGTTTGAAGATATCAGATATTTCGATCGATCTTTTAAAGATATTAAATGATTCACACAACTTTAATTTAACGCTATAATATTTATCTTAGTGGTCCATGATTACATATGAACAATCATTTTCCACTACGTTATTCTAATAAATTCGCCGGCTAAAAGTTTTGTGACATCGATGTCAGACTTTAGTGAGATTTGTTAATAATGATCATTTCCATTGGCAGAGTAGAAAATTTAACAGCATGAAGATTTCGAACGGTACAAATTGGACTACATAGATCCGAAATCCCTCTGATGCTACATATTTAACTGATATTATTGTTAAACCACCATTCAAAATTTTAACGTACCTAAAGTCTACTCCACAACTAAAGGTCACACAAGAACTATGAAAACAAAAATTCATTGTCAAAGTGTATTTTCTACTTATTAATGGGTTCTTCCTGAAAACCCATTACTTCCGCTATTACACTCTTTTTCAGAAATTGCATAGAAACCTTTGTTTTGTTTTTTTGGCAAATTCTATATATTTTTCTGTTTACTGATGCTCATATACTTCCGATTGTTACCTTTATCTTCCCATCTATTTCTAGAAAGAAGTATGATGTTTTCTTGAGTTTTAGATGTGAAGATACCTATAATAACTTTACATATCAACTATTAAGCCAAATAAAACAAAGAAAGAGATGAAAACAGACATGTAAAACTTTAGATTGCACTATAATATAACTTGTTTTGAAGCATTCACCGATCGTCTTCACTCTCCAATGAACATTAGGGTTTGGGAAAAAAAGGGGAAATGAATATAGGTGTGAGGTGACTCACGAGTTAACATATTGGATTTAATCTCCAAATAAAATTGGGTTAATTATGGAGTTGGTCATCAGAATATCAGATTAATTAATATTTTTAAGATACTTACAAATTGGTCACCAAAATTGATTTAAGAAGACTGGGTTAAACATAAATGAACGAACATAACCGAACGTTCACGAACGTAAATGAACGAATGAGACATATGTTCATGTTCGTTCATTTAATTAAACAAACACAAAATCTTGTTCATGTTCGTTCATTTAATAAATAAACGCACATAAACGAATTTCCCGCCGCACGGTTCATGAACGGTTCGTTGAACGTTCAGTTCATTTACAGGCCTATTCCGGAATAGTTTTTGTGATTGTGGTGACATTTAGGTTGAATACTAAAAAATATTAAAATACTAAAAAAGAAAATAAAATTCAAAATAATTATTAAATTAATATTAATATTTTTAATATTGTTCTAAATCAGTCCCTAATCTTTTAAATGTTACAATTTCATCATTAAACTATGACTATCATTCTAACTTAATCCTCAAACTTTCAAATAATTTAGTTTCATCCCCTAATTTATATCCTTCATTCTAAATTGGTCCCCAAACATTTTCAACATTTCAATTTCATCCCAAGTTATATGTATATACTAATCACATTCCATGTTAATAAAATTGTTACGTCAAGTTATATATTATTATATGTTTGAAAAAAAATAAAGTTTAGGTTAAATTGTGGTTAAAATTAATTATATATTTGGATGAATTTGGGGATGAAATTGGAAGGCTTAAAAGTTTAAGGACCCAATTTAGAATAAGGGTATTAGTTTGAGAATGAAATTGGAAGATTCAAAAGTTTAAGGACAAATTTAGAATAAGTATCATAGTTTGAGGATGAAATTAGAATATTTAAAAGTTTAGAGACCAATTTAGAATAAAGATGATATTTTGAGGACATATGATACAATTAACTCTTTTTAATAATATGCGTTTATAAAAACCATCGATCCTTTGCCTTTAAGTTAAGTTTTTTAATTGAACTGCAAAATATAGCTTTCCCATTTGGGTCAGCGTGTAGGGTTCAATGGACAAACCGAATGATCCTCAGTTCTTCAATTAGGGTACCCTATAACCAATGAGAAAGACTAGTAATTCTGATAGCGTAAAGAGTTTTGAGTTGCTTATTGAGTTGCATTTATCTTATAGCTTATGACTACGTATCTATTCAAGGGGACGTCCTAAAACTCGATCGAAAGAATTGAGAGCCTCCACTCTAACGAGTGTCAAGATGCCTCCACCCTGAAATCTTTGAGATTAGGGATGGATATTGGTCGGGTCGGGTCAAGTTTTTGGTTCATCCGATTTAACCCGAAAATTATACATCTTTCACCCGACCCGAATAATATATAACGTCCACCCGACCAGAATTCGACCTGCCTTTCTGAGACAAAATCCGAACCCGACCAGATCATACCTGAAATCATATATTTATTAAAAATATTACCATTTTTTTCAATAAAAATAGGGATTTAATTGAAAAATAATAATATATAGAGGGATGTTATTACAATTATCTCTAAATATATAAGGTAAAATAATAATTTTTTCAGGCCAAGTCGGGTTGGGTATTTTTCACCCTAAACCCGAATCAGACTTGACCCGAACATAACCTCTAAAAAAGTTTGATATGACATAATTTGAATCCAATTTTTTTAAAAAAAAAATTGACCCGATCGGGTTGCTTGGAACCCGTCGGGTTCGAGTCCCATGCCCATCCCTAGTTGAGATGTCTTCGGAAGTTCAACTGATGTAGGGATGTCTCTCACTCTTATCGATACAACTTGGAGTTACCTCCAAAGATTGCTGAGATGCCTTCGATGTGGCATCGATACGCCTTTTCCCTGATAAAGGGAGAGTTGAGCTTTCCCCAAGGAAAATATTCTTCCACTCGACAATTGGATCTCTCCAAGAGTGACGATATGTTTCCTCTCTGGCCGAAGGCTTGGAGAAACCTCCATTCAACCTTTTGCTACAATAACATTATCGATGCTACCAGTGATCGGACGAAAAGGGATGAAAAGCCTTCGATGACCCTTCGCAACATTGAAATGTTGATATCTCTTGAATCCTTCACGTGAGACGTCACCCAACCACGAGAGACATTACATGGAGCGAGAAAATTACATGAAAAAGAATCCACCTTCCTTTGAAGAAGTGCTCCTCCCACTATATGATTAATACCTTAACATCTAGTGTCCTTAACCATCCCACTAAGGACTATAATCCTCCATTTGAGAATGAGAGTTGAGACGCAGACATGTCCTTAATAGTCTCTCAACGGACTATGATCTTCTACTTGAACGTGAACATTGAGATGTCTTAACCAACACAAAGAAGAGCCAACCTATCAATAAAGATCTTCTAAAAAGATGCTTTCACTATTGAAAAAATCGAGAGATGACCATTATACGTTCTACCACAAGCTTCGAACTAAGCCACTTTATGACATTCTCTCACCTAAAGAGGGACAATTTATGGTACTTCCGAATATAACCTCTAAAAACTACCAATTCTCCAATAGTCGAGATCTTCATATAGACCCCTCCACTTACTGGAACCTCCAAGAAACCTCTACCATCCAGACACAAAAGTATCAGAGCCTTCAAGCCCACTGCATTGCATAGACAAGATAAGACATAATCTATTAGAACAAAATCCAATATTTAAGAGTCATATTCATTTAGCCTGTTGACCTACGATAGTGATAATAACACTAAGTTTGACACTTTTAGCTAGAATAACTATAAATACTTTTCAATTATGATGGATGAACTCTCTCTCAGACTTTTATATCTTCAATCTGAAGTAATTTATTCTCACATGTCATCTTTCTCTTTTTTTTCTCATATAGAAGATTATATTTATACCGATTGTACTCTTTATCTAAACTAGAAAGATAAATCGTCAATGATCGAAATAATTTATTTGTTTCCATCCATGATTATAAAATATAAGAAAAATATAAATATAGGTGTTCCACAAAATGTTTCTATTCATGGACGCGAGTTGAACCGTGACGGTGAGTCTTAGGAATCATGCCACAAAAATCGTAGCGGACAAGGAATAAGAAACAGAATAATCTGATCCATCTGAAATTCTTCCACCATTTCCAACCGCTTATTTTCCAAGGCAAAACCCAAGCCTTCCCTTTGTTTTCTTTTGCTCTAATTTTGTTCCTTGTTATGGAAATGCTCATTGATCATCATCTGCAAACCATTGCAACTCATCCTCCTCATACATAAAAACATCATTATCATGTCAAGAACACCAGAATCATTAAAAATTCCCCAAAATAACATTAAACCAAACTTGGGTCTTGCCAAATCAACACCTACTCTCCCTGACCTGTTCTTGACAGCAATTTCCCTTCTTTTTCTCTTCTCTTCCCCCAAAACAAACCATACTTTCTTCCCAAAGTTCCTTCCTTTTCCCCCGAAGCCACGGCGGTTCCTCAGAACACCCACCATGTCAAACTCCAGGTCCGCCTTTCCAACCCCACAGGCTTTATCTGATTGGCTCAAGCCACGGTTGCCCTCTGAGTCACTGGCTTCATGGGGGGTCAAACCCGGAACCAAAAACGTCCACAATCTCTGGTTGGAACTCTCCGAAGGCGAGATTTCTCTTCTGGATTCGTCCCCTCCACTTCGTACTGTTAACGTCGTTACGGTTCGTATTCTCGGTAAAGATAACCTCGTCCTCGTCGAATCTCGACAGGAATTGTCGGATGGTAGCGTTAGGGATCGGTTTAGACCATTGTCCGAGAAAATGAAACCCCATGAAACCACCGAAGAAGCCGTTGTTCGTGCTGTGAAAGAGGAGCTTGGTTCGGTTGTTGTTGATTCTGGGACCGTGAGGATTGTGCCGGGATCTTATAGGAAGAAGCTGGAGGAGCGGAATTCGGTGTCGTATCCGGGTTTGCCGGCTCGTTATGTTTTGCATTCGGTGGACGCGTGGGTGGAGGGTTTGCCTGAGGGAGATTTTGTTACTGAAGAGAAGGAAGAGTATGAGGATTTTGATGGGGCAAGGGGATTGGAGAAAGCTGTGTCTGTAAGGAAGCATTACTGGAAATGGGTTAGTTCTGATTCTCTTAGCTCCTGAATATGCACAGATGGATGCAGAATCTTGGTTGAATTTTCTTGGTATTTGATGCTGTAGCTGAGTTGCTGGTAAAGAATTAATCTTTGTCTAGTAAAAAAAAAAGATACTTGAACTCTTTATATATATAGCCTTATAACGAAAACGAATGAATTCCATGCTTCATTCTTCAGATATGGTTCAACTATAGAGACTCAATTGTTATTATTTTGTGATTGCGTTGATGAGTTTGTGACTTCGTATTGGCTTTGATTGCATATTATAAGTTATTGTTGCAAGCCAGATTGTTTATTGCTTGTGTTCTGATTTCATATGCATAACCGTTTTGCTTTTAAGAGCTTCCGAGTTCCAGATACCGGTGATGACGGTTTTTTAGTTATGTTTAAACAATATAATGGGATTTTATTTTTCAAACTGTTCATGGAAAAAAGGAAATTAGCTTCAAGTCTCCGAGTGCAATTGAAGTTGAGATTGCTGAAGTAATCAGCAGATAAAATCAGTGAATTTAGCATGACCATATTATCTAAATTTTGATCTAGTACTGGAGATTGGAGAAGAAATAATGTGTCAGGATGTACCTTTCATTTGAAATGTGAATTGTTAAGCATGAAATACAACATTGAAATATAAAGTATTTGGTAATATTAAGCACAAGTTTCATGAGCAGCTTAATCCTTGTGACTTGGTTTCAACTCTGTGTACTCCTGAGTGTGGATAAAATGTCGATGTGTTAGCTTCATAATGGATGATCTAGAGATGAATGTTATTCTCATGTGTGATATTGGCTGGTAAGTGCTGGCCGTCCGCCATCGCATCGTGGTTAAATGTAACCTAACCGCAAAACCTCTAGTTAAAATAATGATTAATATGAATACCACAGATGTTGGCAACCAGCGGTCTGCATTGCTCTAGTTAGTATAATTTGTTATTCCAACTGTTAGGAGTTGCAAGCCGGTTGACAAACAACACAATGTTACAAGTCACATAGCAAAGTTAATTCTTTCTTCCCATAAGGATTTGAGAGGAGCTCTGCTTCAACATATCCTTCTGCTTATATAATTTAATGAATAAGTTCTTTTTTTAGGTTTCGAGTACTTTCCACTTTAATTAGGAATATATTTTGTTACTGATAAGAAGCTAGTGGAGTTGTTCAAGTTTTTCTTGTATTCAAACTTTCAGACTAAGCTTGCACGCTCCTGTGGAGCGAGATTTGTATCATCAGAAACTTAAAGAATGGCCTGTGGGGTTTCCATCCTATAGAAGTTTTTCCCAAATCCGCCTCAAATTGTGCTGGGGTTGTAGTGAATGATATTAAGTTTTTCTTGATGTGATGCTCTCTTTGAATGATAGGAAGAAATATACATTGATTAGATCCAGCTTAAGCGAATACGAAACTGTTTGTGAACTTTCGAGCTGCTTGATGTTCAAGATTATTAGAACTGATTAGGCAAGAAGTCACCAACTTCTCATGTCCTTTAAAAAGTTTGGTCACTTTTGAAAGCAGTTCCTCTTTCTCTTTAATGTTTCTGCTTTTTCCGAGAGATGCTGATAGCGAATGAATTTTGTCTGTATTTACACCATTTTCACTGTAGAATATGCGCATCAAACAACTAGTGTATCCATGTCTTGTGCCAATAACGTTTGATCTCTTACCTTTGCAAAAAGATGGATTGTGCATAAAGGGCTGCCACTCTCTTTTCCTCCCTACCTCGTTTTTCTTTTTATTATTTTTAGCAAAATTGTGGTCTAGAATTGTCTGTGAATTACTAAAGGTGAAGGATTGACATGAAGCATGGTTTCAAATTGCGGTCACAGTCGCGTTTTCGGTCATTTCGGGTTTATCGTGATTGTGGCTGTCGCAGGCGCTATTGGGCACTATTGCGGGTGTAGCGGGTAACTCAGACGGCGGCTAAACCGCTATTTCGCGGTTGCTATCACGTTTTCGGACCGTGATTTGAAACCCTGACATGGAGTTTAACTAAAGGTGAAGCAAAACTATGTCCCTGCCTTTTGTTGCCTTTCGTAGAACCCATTAGAATCTGATCAATCGATCACCTTTCTTCTCCGTCTTTCTCGTTCATATCCGAGCAGTGTTGAAGCGATCTCTTGTATATTTTTGCACCAAAGAAACAAATAAACTATGAACCGTCATTTTCTTTTTCTTGCTCCAAGCACTTTGCAAAGCATAAACTATTACATTACAATCCTTATGTTACTCTTTCTGATAAATAATCATTTCAGAGAATACATAATGTTCATTATGTAGTGAAAATCATAGAAACATAAAGCTGATAAAGATGGACTGAATAACTTCCAAGCTCATGTTAGTTAACCTCTTCTCACACAGTGGTGGAACACTGAGTTGCTTGATTTGAGCTCAGTGGCACTGTTGGGGCATTAGGTCCAAAGGCCACAACTGAAACACAGTTAACGTTGAAGCGATATCGGCCAGAAACCCAAGTCCCAACCTTCCACCTGAGCTTCCCGTTTATCTTCAGGTTCAGGACCATTTTCCCGATGGTCCGGTCCCGTCCGACTTCGTAACCAAACGATGGAGCCACAGGCAGCCCTGTTCCCTGCAAAGATGTTGTGAACAGGTTGCTTTCTTCATGTCCTTGGTAGAAAGGTGGAAGGGAGGTATCAACAGTTATATGTTGGCCTTTATATGCAGCATAAGCTTGCAACTCGTCGTAGTAAATGCTGACTTTTATATTCGGGTTTCTTGAGAGCAAGGTGAGTTGGATGAAAGAGTTGAGAAGGTGAGGGCTTGAGAGATTGAGTTGGTAGATGTGAGCTTCCCTGAGGGAGAACTGAGGCTTTGCAGGGTGAAGTATAAGCCAGATGAGGAAGATGAAGGCTAAAACTGTGGTGGAAAATGCTGAGAAGGCAATAAATAATTTCTTGTAGGACTTGTCAATGGTTAGTCCTTTCTGGGCACAATGTTTGGGAGATTTTGAGAAGACTTGAGACATTTGTAAGAGAGAGAGAGGGGGGAAGATAGAGAAGGCACACGAAGGCTGGGAAAGGGAGTGAAAACCAATGAGCTTAATAAAGGGAGAAGTTGGGAATAGAAGGCAGCAATTATTTAGGATCTAATACTGTTGACTTCACTCTCTTTGGACTGAAAATGTGCTGAGTCGAGTTCAACTCAAAAATTTAATATATTACTTTTTCAGTTATTCGAGAGTTTTTCGAGTCGAATTCGAATTTCAGTCGAGTCTATTCGATTCAAGTATTGATCGAGCTTTGACCAGTCAAACTCAAATAGAGGATGATCATTCAAATACGTAAAATCACCATTATACTATGATAATACAAACTATGTTAGCATGTGTACTTTCCATTTTCTTGAAATTGTTATGTCTAACACATATTCAGACGTATTTGACTCTGTAAATTGAATGAAAATGTGAACGATACATCTCCAACCATTGAATCATTGAACAATGGTTCATGAATTGGTCTCCTGCGTATGTAGCAGATCTGAGCTATCTGATGGAATTGACATACAATTACCAACTATGGTGGACACAATCAAATTTACAAATGGCACATCATCTAAGGATGTTGAATATAACATGGGTCCCAAGATGGCAAGATCCCCCATTTGGATTATGGATGCATGATTGATACTTGTCAATGAAGAATAAATCGTCTCATCGACTATCGACTATTGATGATTCATCCCTTTTGATTTAGACGAAAAGTCACAGTATTTGGATAAAGATAGAATTGATCATAAAGGATGATGGAAACAATAGACGGGTCATGAGGGTTTTATCCCTTTTTCCAGTCTTAATTAGGGTATTTATAGTGGTTTTTAGTTTGTCAATCATATGGTCATCGTGACTATTTGTAAGTTGACAAGCTAGGCAAATATGATAGTTAGACTTTAGATTTTGTTTTTGGGCATCACGTGAATTTGTCAGAGATTTTGTATGTACACCGTAGTTGACCAGAAGGATGTGTTTAGAGGCTATAAACTAATCGGAGGCTCTAGTGAAGGTAAAGGTCTATTTGAAGATCTTGATTAGTGAAGAGATGACAGTTTTAGCGAACCTGATCTGACGAAAGTATGTATGTTATCGAATCATCTCCAGAGATATAACAACACTATATCTCAAGAACCCTGAAACAAGCTTGAATTACAAGTTTTATACACCGACTACTTTACAAAAAGATATGGCCTAGTATATGCAACAACAAGATGACTGAGAGGGGCTGGATATCAACCAGAATCTGGAACTGGGAAACGCTTTTAGAATAATTGAAAGGAAAAGAAAAAGGTAAGGCTTTAATCAGAGGGTAGCCATCGCCTTTCAGGTCGATTGGATGTAAGTGAACCGAAGTGATGTCCCTTTATTACAATATTATAATCAAAGATATTATTATAGCAATATTGCATGGGAAATAATGAGTCTCTTTTTTCACATAAAGCTGTAATTTTGAACCTGTACTTTAAAGTTTCTTATGTTATTGAGGTGTACACAAAGAGAGGGAATCTGTAAAAATGGCTTTTTGGAAACAATGGGGAATCGTCCTTTTGATTTCTGGGTATCTTTATGTGGCAGCTAAGAAAAGGTTTTTGTAAATTGCAAGCAATTTTGATGCAGGGGGTGAACAAACTCAAGGTCCAACAAGCCAATTTTCTCTCACATGGGCTCACTCTCGACCTTCCCCATTATCCTAAGGGTGTAAATAAACCGAGCTTGAACAAATAAGAATGTGTTCGTGTTTGTTTGTTTTCAATGACGTACATGTATGGTTCATATTCGTTTAAATCTTTAATGTTGTGTTTGTGTTTATTTATCTATTTTAAAGGTGTTTGTGACTATGTTTGTTTAACGTTCGTGAATATGTTCATTTAGCGTTTGCGAATATGTTCGTTTAGCGTTTGCGAATATGTTCGTTTATATATTTAGGAATTAAACAAAATAAACTAAAAAAATCTTAAAAAATACAATTTTTAAACAAAATTCATCATGCGTTTAATGTAGTCCATACATTCACCTTAGAATATAAAAAAAACGTAAACGAGCTTATGAAGGAGGCATTAAACGAGCTTGTTAATAAAATAAATGAACAAGTCAAATAGCGAGTTAAAAACGAGTTTGTTTGTGAACATAATCAAATCGAACATATCTTTATTCATGTCCGTTCGTTTATTAAATGAAAAAAATCATACTTGTTTATTTAACTTAACAAGCGAACGTTATATGAACGATTCACGAACAGTTCACTGAACTTTGGGTTCATCTACACCCCTAATCTTAATTGTTTCATATATAATTGTTGCCAGAAATATTTATCTTTTAGATTATTTCTAGGATTTTATGAGCAAATTTCTATAGGGGTTTAAAGGAATAAGGGGTCTTGACATCTTTTAACCCTTTATTAAAAATTAAAGGCCAATTTGTGATATCCACTTATCAGTTACCTATTACGAGACTATCCACATATACAATCAATTCCAATAAATTTAAGTCATCAAACAATGTTTTAGCACAGTACACACAATAAAATTATTGGACAAACTACACGTTTAGTACATAAACTATAAGTTTTGGTCTGTTTTAATACCTAAATGTTCGTTTTTTTCAAAATCATATTAGTATTTTTCGTTAAAAACTTAACTGACGGGCTAATGTGACATAGCTCCAGTGGACGAACAACCAATCCGAACAGTGGACCACAAGAGAATGACGAGTCCATCAACATAGTCTAATTTTTTGCCCATCGGACTATGGGCCATGAAGATTGGAGGATGAAGAAATCGAAAAGTTCATCATCGATTTGGGGAGATTGAGGCGCTTCCTGATGAAATAGAGGTAATAATCACGTTCAAGAGTTCAAAAAGGTGTGTGTTGGGAAATTTGGACTTCATTGGTCGATGGATGTGACAACCTGCAACTTTAGACATGGAGGTCGACAAGCCCGTCTGTTAAGTTTTAAATGATGGCTACTAAAATGAAACAAAAACTGAGCATTAGTTATGATTTAAAAAAAAATGAAAGTTTAAGTACTAAAATGGATCAAAAATGATAGTTTAAGTACTAAATGCGTAGTTTACCCTAAAAGTATTATCACATATAGCACCTGAATGGTTCGAACAAACGCACACCTAGGGCTATAAATGAGACGAGATAGATCGTGAGCTACTCGAGATCGACTCGGTTAAAGCTCGATAAATACTTGACCTGAATGAACACTACTCGAGCTCGAGCTTGACTCGATTTCTTAACTAGTCAAAACTAGCTACTTGATACTCGACTCGAAAAGCTTGTGAGCAACTCAAAAAAATATATTATAATTTTTAAAAAAAAATTAAATTATTAATAATAGTAACATTTATGTGTTATTTTTTAAAAAATATAGTATAATATTTTTATGTACTTAGGATTCATGTTTTAGTTCGAGTTAAAGCTTCAACCGAAGTTTAAGATTTTTTTTTATTTTAAGCCTTTTCGAGCTTCAATTCATGGTTTCGAGTTCGAGTCGGACTTGAAAATTTTAGGCTCACGAGTTTTCGAGTCAAATTGAGCTGTACTCCGCTCATTTACAGGCTACGCACACCTAATAAGAAGAGGGTATGAGTCAAAGCTTTCCCATAATCTACAATAGTGTTCGGTCCAACTCGATCTGAACACACATAAAATACTTGAATGTTTAATATGATGATTTAGAAAATCATTTTAAAAACTAATTTACTTTTTTTCCCTACTCACCACTACAAACTTACGATATTATCTCATCCATTACCAAGTGTTGCAGTTCATAACAGTTTGGCATCATAGCCACACATCCTGGTAATTCTTCAAACGGGGAAAATAGAAAAAGAACCAAACCATGGAAGACCTTACAGATCTTGCTACCATTTAACAAAAACTTGAAGATTTAAAAAAGGTGGACTAAGAGCCCGATGAATCTGAGCCTCCAAAATGGTGAAAAAACAGGAAGATTGTGTATCTAGTTTAGAAAAATGGATGACAAACAGGTTTTGTGGATTTTAACAGGTAAAAAAGAGGAGCAAGAGCAATCTGACAGTGAAACTCCCACCAATATAGATGGAAAGAAACTAGTAGAGGTCATGGTGATTAAGGATAAGTTCAGGTCTTTTTACAACCTGGAGGTGGGTTGATAACCCCGTAAAAGGCTATATTTCTTGCCTTTTCACTTAGATTATTGATTGTTTAAAAGCTCGTTTAAGTGCATTTAGTCTCATTTAGTTGCATTTATCATAATTGTAGTGTAGTTTGCTTGTTGATCTTTAATTATCCTATAAATGATGCTTTGATGGGACAAAAGTAGTGTTTTGGTGGTGAATTGTGCAGGTTAAGGAGGCTAGAGGAGAATTGGAAAATGTCGCAGCATTATGGATAGCGTTCCTGGGCAAAAATTGTTGCAACATTATGGATAACATTCATGGAACAGAAAAAGACAAAAGGATGAAGATATTTTATTGTTGTTGTCAACTGTCACACGTGAATTCCTTCAGCCAACTATCCAACACACACATGCGAAGGGAATGATCCCTTATGGTAAAGGGAATTTGAGCACTAAACCCTAGGAGCCCCCACTATAAATTGATAAGGATACCCACATTTTAAGATAACTTTAGAAAGTATAAAATAAGAAAAAGAGGAAGAGGCGGTTGCGACACAAATTCTCCATTTTTCTTTCCTTCTTTCTCCTTTCGTGACATCCTCTATAGCCAAGCTCAAGAGGATATAAAGATAGGCCTTTGAGAGACGCTAGTTTTACTAAGGCGGTTCAAGGCATCGATTAAATTTTTACGGCAGTTCACGTGCTTGGGAGTTTTCTTCTCCCTTTTGTGGTTTTCATTTCTATTTTTCTAGTGAGTTCGTAATGGAACGAATGATGATGATTGATGATTTGAGCCCCACCATTAACTAACTTATTTGGTGTGGGTTTGCTTGGGATGATTATACTTTGTTTTGAATGAATGATTTATGTTTTTCATTTTTAAATGCGATTTGTAAGAGCTTTCGACCATTTTCTAAGTTTGATGCATAATATAGATAAATTTAGGCTTAGATCAACGTGAACAATAGGGCTAAGCTAGGAAGTAAGGCTCTAACTCGCCTTAGAGAAGGAAAGGGTTTCAATGACTAAAAGGGGTAGAACTTAATCGTTAGTATTATGTAGCACCTCACGCTGAGAGGTATTGTCGTAACATTTTCACTATCAGGTTCCTTACTAGAGATAGCCTAGAAACACTTTAGCAAATCCTGTCGAACAATATACTCATGGAAAACATGAACCATTCTAGAGACAAGACATAAGATTCCTTAGTAAACCCAATCATTTATCCCTATTGTAGCTTGTTTGTGAGAGATTGTCAAATCATCTTATTTCATACTTCAGTGCTCGACTTTACTTTGCTTTAGCATTCTTTACTGTTTGTGAGAGATTGGATAAGTATTATTCTCTACTGGTACAAATTGTGTCAACCGTTAGAAAGGACAACCATATGTAGATATTTGACAAATGGGTATATTGTAACGAAATAAAACCGTGTACTATTGAGAGAGAAATTATGTGATTATTGAATGAAAACTTTCTTTCCTAAATCCCTATCTTCTTCCTTTTCTATTTCCCTAGAAAAATTCTTACTTTTCTCGAGTTCATAATCTAAAATTTTAAGAGTGACGAACTTATAAAATTCTAATGAAAAAAAATAAATTATCAATTGAAAATATCTAAAATATGTATTAATATAAAGTTTTCAAAGAGGATAACTACTTTCACCTGTCCCTTTGGTCTATCTCTACGCACAAATGATAATGGTTAAGCGTAGTTCAATTTGAGCTTTGTTGGTATTATGGTTGTGTATGATTACGAGTTTGAACAGTTAAATGTAGAAAACAATTTTTTTGTATTAAAAAATTGAGAAAGACATCTATATACAACAATCAGAAAGTTTCGTAGTCTCAAGAGAAAAAAGATCACATTTACCTGTTGAAGAAACTTCTTTAGGGCTTAAAACAGTCACCTAAGCAGTGGTACATAATGCTTGTTAATATTCATTTAATAATTCACTTCAGGCATTCAATTCAAATCAATATAATGCATGGTTTTCAGAACCGGACCGGTTAGCGAACCGGTCATGCTACCGGTTCATTGGTTCAACCGGTCGAACCGGTCCGACCGGTCGGAAGAACCGGACGACGTCATAATTATTTAAAAAATTAAATAAAAATATCAAAAATATTTAATAAAAAATAATTTTTTATATCACAAGTCATATTCAAAGCAAATCATAACATATATAAGTTAAAAACCATAAAATCAAGTGAAACAAAATGATTCAAATTAACTACAACATAATATTTAAGGTAAAACATATTAAATAATAAATATAATTATATAACTATAATTAAAAAATAAATTTGGGTTAAAAAAATCATAACAAAATGATATTGTTTGGTTTACTTTTTTTTTTAAACAATCCCACATGGCTAAGAAACATAGAAGAGCATCCCAAAAGTCTAAAGAGAAAAAATATGAGAACAAAGCAATCTCACATTACTAAGAAACATAGAAGCGCATCACAACTAACTTCTATAAATAATAGAGGTAATTTGACATTCAAAATCATAGAGCCTTTTGGTGAGCATTGAGTGAACTATTCTTTCACTTCAATCAAGCTCGAATTTTAGGCTTCAATCGAGCTTCAAATTTTTTTTTGAGTTCAAGTTTCAATATTATATTTCGAGTTTGAGTTGAACTTGATAATTTGTAGCTTGTGAGTTTGAGTTGAGTTGAGCTTACTTTTAAAGTTTTCAAGTTCGAGTCGAGCTCAGCAATACTCGAGTTCAACTTGGCTCGTTTAACAAATGACGTTGTTTGGTTTAATTTTTTTTTTTAAAAAAAAACAAAAATCCCGGTTTTTCCCGGTTTTTTCCGATTTTCAGGTTCGAACGGTTCAGCGGTTCTGGCCGGTTCACTAATAACGGTTCAACCGGTTTATATTGAACCGGACTAAGCAACGGTTCCCGGTTGAACCGGCCGGTCCGGTCCGGTTTTCAAAACAGAGATATAATATTTTATGATAGTTAGAGTGTTATCTTCTTTAAAAAAAATCAAATGTTTCATGAGATGACGATATATATTAATACCCTATATCATTGTGTGTGTGATATTATTGTTTATAGTGATATTGTTTTGATCAAAATTTGCACTCATCACAATCCTACAGATATAATGGGTAAGTCACTCCTTACAATCAAATTTGAGTATTATCTTGACTTGGTCAATTTTCATTGTTGACGAATATTGTGTGTGATACTCATTGTACTTTCAAAATTCGGGTCGATGTGGATATTGTTAAAGTTTGATTCGAATTTGATGCAACACGAATTAATAAATTTATAAAATTAACAGATAATTAGAGAAAGTAAAAGATCTATTTTGATTGAAAGTAAGTAGTATATGTTTAAAGATAAATCTATCTACTGGGTTCTTTCAACTCCAAGACTGATTCAGACTATTATGCAGGACCAGCAACACGGAGAGTGACAGCCTCCAGCAGGTGTCTGGTTTAAATTGAACTCGGACGGCGCGAGACAGACTGGTTCGGGGGCAGCGTCACGTGGCGGTGTTATTCGGAATGACGAAGGCATTTGGATCCGGGGGTACGCCAAAACCATAGGTTACTGTTCAGTTTTAGATGCAGAATTATAGGGCATTTTAGAGGGCCTAAAACTGGCTTGGGATTTGCACGTGGAAGCGATGGTTGTGGAGACGGATTGTAGTGAGGCAATCAATGTTCTACAAAAGGAAAGCGATGCATGGGGTGGCTCATGGTCGAGTTCGTTGACATATGATAACAGATAGTTTATGTAATATATGCAAACATGAAGATGAAGACATTGATCACGTCTAGACCAATTTGGTCTACAACACAATTCGACCAGATAGAATGGAAGACATTAATGTGGTGTACTGAGGCATAGCGATAGGTCGGTCGTGATTAGAGGAGTGCTGGGAAACGAGTAAGGTGCATGGTCGTTTGGGTTCTCTAGAAGTATTGGTAATTGCTCGGCGTTGAATGTAGAACTATAGGCGATCCACGATATTTTGGTGCATGCATGCGTGGAGACATGGAGTCGGTGGATTACATGTCGAAACTGATGAAGAAGATGCAGTGAAATTCATTGCTCGCTCATTAGACGCACTACCAGGTAATGCAATCGTCGAAGCCATTTAGGCGTTGTTAGATAGAAAATGGGAGGTGAGGATAACACAAATCCGAAGAGAGGCGAATGCAGTGGCGGATAAACTGACAACGATGTCTAAGGGAAGATATGTTGGGGTTGGGGAAAACCTCTTTGATGCACCACCAGACGAGGTAGAAGTACATATTGCACATGATGTTGTAGCCAGCTTTTTATCCATCTATTTTGTTCAACATTAGCAGAAAAAATAGGATAAATTACACTTTTAGTACCTAAACTATTAGTTTCGATCCATTTTAATATCTAAACTTTTAATTTTTTTCAAAACCACACCTAACATTTAGTTTTTGTTTCATTTTATTACCCTACCATTAAAAACTTAACAGACGGGTTAACGGGGCATAGCTCCAATGGATAGACGATCAATCCGAATGTTAGACCATGAGAGAACGTCGAGTCGACCAACATAGTCCAATTTCAGACCCATCAGACGATTAATGAAGGAGATCGGAGGATGAAGATGAAGAAGTCGAAAAGTTCATTATCGATCTGAGGAGATTGAGGCATTTCCGATGAAACGGAGGTCAGAATCACATTCAAGGGGTCGAAAAGGTGTTGGTTGAAATGTTTAGACTTCATCGGCCGATGAATACGACAACCAACGACTATCATAAAAAATATTACTTTTGATTTTTGAAGACATCACCCCATATCAAACATCATTCAAATACATATCGGTAATCATGTTAAATTCTTTTACCAAATTTAACTTCTCCAATGAAAGGCATTGCCCATTAACATTTTGTTTCATTAAGAAAAGGAAAATAACATTAACTTAGTAAACCAAAAGAGCAAAGCAAACCTACATATAAGCCTATATCAGGCAAGTGGTTTGCATTTTACATTCTATTATTATTATTTAGGCATAAAACAAAGATAAGCTAAAGGAGAAACATCATGGGCAAATGTCTTAACCAAACTGATAATGACAACATCTGATTTTGTCACCGTTCTTCTTGTTGAGCTCTTGCAGAAGAAAACTAATGTTATCGGCAGTCAAAGGCTTGTTAAAGCAATAATCCAAGCCCGCCTCCATGAAAACTTGCTTATCATATGGTGAGTCAAGTGAAGTTACACCAGCGATCATGCTCTTCACTCCCATAGCTCTCAGCTCCTTTGTCGCCTACAAAACATACATACAATAATTGTTTTGTTTGGTGTAAAATTTCCATTAACGACTCTTGAAGTAATATATGTATACTATGTACCTCGGCCCCATCCATGACAGGCATTTCTTTGTCCATTAGAATGAGATCGAAAGAATCTCCGAAACGGAAAAGATCGACTTGAACTTTGTGTCCAAACTTCTTGAAATGCATGTCATGGAGTTTTCGGATCATTGGACTGTCATCAACAACCAACACTGTCAAGTTATTGTCATCGTCTGATTTCATGCTAAAGGATGAACTCGATGCTTTTCCCAACACCATCTTCAAGCTTTGGTATACCCTTTTTCATAAGCAATTTGTAAATATTAGCTACAACCTCAAAATCATGAAAATTTCTTTATATATATATATATATATATATATATATATATATATATATATATATATTTGATTACCTTAATGCTATCTTGTTAAGTTGCTTGAATACTTAAACTAGGTTGATTTATATAGGTAGTGGAAACTAGAACCATTTCTTCATTTACAAACACATGATATTCATGCACAATTGAAAGGAAAAAAAGATTACAAGTACTTAAAAATGAAATCCAGTAGCTTGGATTTTTCTTTTCTTTCAAAGCAAATTTTTAAGACGTGGACAAGTAGAAGATCTTGTTTCTTTTATTATTGTGACAATGGCATAATAAATGAGATATTTCTCGGATTCGCAATTAAGAATATAAGATATTTTAACGTAAAATATATATATATATATATATATATATATATATACTAAATTGAAATATTTATTTCATAAACTTTTTTTCTTTGTAGATATCACATCTATCATCAGGCCCGGTCCTGATATTTTAAGGGCCCTAGGAAAGGAGATGATATAAGAAGATAAGTGGGGGCCCATACCTAGATTTCTCCATCATTAAAATGGGGCCCCACTAAATTACTATATTTTTGAGTTTTTTAAATAAAAAATGATATTTAAAAATATTTTTTAATTATTGAGGCCCACTAAATTACCATATTTTCAAGTATTTAAAATAAACAAATATGTTTAAAAATCTTTTTTAATTAATAAACTTAAAAATAATTTTAAAAATGAATCCCTCTAAGTTTGGGGCCTAGGCGGTCGCCCCCCCTGACCCCGGCCCTGTCTATCATAAAAGCTACATGAAAATATACTCAAAAAACATTGTTGCACTCAGACGAATCAAATAGATTAAACGGATCTAACAGGGAAGTCAATGCAAAAAGTTAATTTGTACGTCAAAGTCAACCTTAGTCAAAGTCAATGCTATCAAAGGTTAATGGGATAACAAATCAAACATCAACGAATCGACGGGTTAAAGAACAACTATCGGATCGAGTCAACTAAGTCTGATCAACGGATCAAACCGGGTCAGTTAACGGGCATGGTCAATCGATCAAACTAGGTCTATTAAAGGCTCAAACCAGATTGGCCAACAAATCAAACCATGTCAGTAAGCCGGTCATATTTGGGTAGCATTGGGTACGAGTCCTTATTCTTTCCAATTAGATCACTAGGTTTTGACTTTGTTTAATTTGATCATATCAACTTTGTGTTTCTTCCAATTAAACCACCATATGTAGATTCCATACATTTCATTACTTAGAATTCCAGTTTTAAAATCAATGAGACCCCAATTTCAAAATCTTCAATCCAAACAATTCAACTAGACCCCACTCTTAAACTGGATTTTAGGGTTTTACAATCATATAATCATATTGTCACGATGACATGAGAATAACACATTCATCTTTATTGGGTCCAATAGTGTACTTCAATTGAAATTCATGAAATTCATCCTATAAAATTTAAATTAAAGTGTTGTATCTTGTAAGGTTAAATCTTGTCCTTAAAAAATTAAATTCAAGTTAATGAATTTGGAAAGCTAATTATTATTATTACTTTGAATAGTTTAAGGGGATTATAAGGTAGTATCTGTTAATAATCGATTTTAATCATTGACAATGCATGCACACCCTGCAGATGTAGCTACTCAAACCCAAAACTTCAATGGAAAACAACATTTCTTTTAACCACTAAAACCACTCAATAGATTCACGAGCTTATTATTAGAACCGGCTTACTTTGAAGGTGTAAATAAAACAAAGTGTTTAAACAGTGGCTAGATATTATGGCACTATGAATTTGGAGAATAAATCCATGAGGAGCCACTGTGGTACCTGGCTAAGCAACGAAATCGGGAAAATTAAAAAATTGATTTGAATCAGATTATATGGTTTGATTTAAATCTTTATTTTGTGGTTTAGTTTTAGTTCGGTTTAAAAATTTTAAATATATAATTTAATTTAGTTTAAGTTTTTCATATGAAAATCATTTAAACCGAATCAAATCGAATAAAAAAATAAGTATCCAAAATAATTTTTTTTAAATTTAAATAAATAAAATCTTAAAATTAATAATATTTTTTATAAATTTAAATTTATATATTTGCACTCGATTTAAAATTAATAATATTTTTATAAGTTTAAATTTATATATTTATTTAAATTTAAATAAATAGAAGATGCAACGTGATGAAGCGAGTAGCATACTTTGGAACCAAGATGGTGAGATCAAGAGTAAGGAAACCGAAGAGTTTCGGTGGGGAACTCTGGAACGTGAAATGTTGAGATGTAAAAGAAATGGGTATTCTCTCCCATTGATGAAAACGGCAGCTGCAGCAACAGTGACAATGAAGACGGCTTCAAAGCAAGGAAAAAATTGAAGGAATTTTGGTTTAAGGGTTGACGTTTGATCTAATTATTATTTAAAATAAGATTATAAAAATAACGTAATTAATATTTTATTTTAAATAATTTATGTTTAGATTTTTAACTAATTTATAATTATATGCTTAATACTTTATAATTTTAAAATTTTATAAATTAAATTGAAGTTTTAATTTATAAATATACGTCGAGTATTTTAAGTTTTTCAAGCTTTAACTGAACTTTTATTTTTTTACTTTGAGTCAAGCCTAAACATTTTAAGCTTACGAGCTTTCTAACCGAATCAAACTTCAATTTTTGATTTTGAATTTGTCTTGAGCTTGACAATTTTAAATTTAGGAGCTTTCGAGTTGAGTAAAACACAACTTTAAACTTTTTAAATCGGGTTAAACTCAACAATAATCGAACTCGACTTGACTATTTTACAGCCCTATTATTTTACTTCCGTTTATAATTGAGCCTTTAGCATTTAAAGATTCCAACTTCCCCCATTTGGAGAAGCTCCTATTAAGCTATGAAATACTAAATATAGCTCCATTTTTCATTTAGCTTTGCTTTTTGTGTCGACTCTTCAATGGGGTTGTAGACACTCGTTTTTGTCCGGGTCTAAAAATATATTATTATTATTGTTGTTATTATTATTATTTATTATTATTATTATTAACTTAATTACATTTTTGCATACTTAATTTGCGGCCCAGATACAACTCAGCAGGCCCACTAAGAAACCAGTGACTCAACACACAAGCCCAACCCAGATACAACCTGAAGCCCAGTACCAGGCCCAAATCCAGCTCAGACCGGCCCGTTTGTAACCCAAACAAATTAAGGTTTCTGAACCCTAATCAGTAGTCGCCACGGCCAACGTTTCAACTCCCATTGACGTATGGACTCCACTACTCGTTTCCCCAACCGTGTGAGCCGCCGCCGAACGTTCTCGCATGATGTTGTCATCAACAATGATAACAAATCCATCAAACAAAGAAAAGCCAGAACAATCAGAAAAAAACCCAATAAAAAAATAAAAACAAATCAAATGTTATCCCGAGGCAATCTAACTCTGCCACAAGTTTATCTCCTCGGTAACATTATCATCAAACAACATCCATCACAAAGTCACATATGAAAATAAAAAAGAGGGAGGAAGACAGAGAAAATGAAGAGATATTCGGCGGAAAGAAAATATCATAAGAAAAAAAAACTAAGAAGAAAAAAACAGAGAGGAAAAAAATGAAACAGGAGAGAATCAAAAGACACAAACAGAAACAAGAAAAAGAAAGGAAAGAAAAGTTCTTACCTTGGTTCGGAGTTCACCGGGAAGCCGAAGGGTCACCGATTTTCAAAATATTCGAAGGTATAAAACCAAGATCTAGGACTCTATGAGAGGTTTTAGGCTAAGAGGGACTAAGTTTCGGATTAAGGGAGAAAGGAGGAGGCTTTTGAGGTGTTTGAGTCTCTCCAGCCGTCGTGAACCGCCGTGAGGTCTACCGGCGGTGACAAACCCTTTCTTCCTCGATGAGGGAAAGTTGACTCTCTTCTGGTTTTCTGAAACATGTAGTAAATGAGAAGATGAAGGGGAAAAGCCTTGGGCTTAGGCTTTTATATCCCCACAAAACGACGTAGTTTCTAGGGTGACCGTTTGGCATTTTTGAGCATGAGTAAATCCCACTTTAGGTCCCTTTGATTTTGTAATTTCATCTGTCAGTCATTTAATGAATTTTGATCCTTTTTTATTTCGAGTACTTATGTTTCAATATTTTTATTTTAGTCATGCTCATACATATTGTGTATTTTTGTTAATATTTGATTTTGGTTATGACATTTGTAAATCCTTTATTTTAGTCACTGCTTGGCATTTGGTTTAATTATTGTTTAGCCTTTTATGTTTATGGTTCATTTCATTTCAGTCATTTATATTATTTATGGGTTATTTTCATTTCTAGTATTTGTATTGTTTAATATTTTTGATCTTAACTTTGGTTTGTTTGTATTTGTTGTTCAGCCTCTTAAATTTCTGTTAATAGCAGTTTGGTCCCTTAAATTTTTAAATATGTTTCTTTGGTTATTTATATTTTGATATGTAAATTTTTTATTGTTCTGTTTGAGTCCCTTATGAATGTACATATTTCACATGTTATGTATTTTTATGTATAACATTAAATAAATGTTATTATTTTTATGTTGTAAATATTTTATTTTACATTTACAATCACATTTGTTTATATTGTATTTCCTTAACGATTAATATTATCCGAATAATTTTATGAACCGATTTGTAGAATGAGAGTGGAAAGTATCACTTGGACGAAGTGATGCGATCCGATACGGCATTTTAACGAAATGAGAACTTGAAATAAATTTAGTTTGTTTTACTAATTAATTTTTTTTATTATTCAAATGATCCAATGTGTTTTTATGTGGTAATTTATTTTACGCAAATGTTGATTTATCATTTATATTCGATTCGCGTTTTTAAATCATCGAGGAGGGAATATTCTTTACAAATGAGAAATAGAGGATATAGAGGATGTGCAAATCTCGTGATTTCTTAT